TGTTGAAGCTCACATGATATGATATTGTCACTTTTCGTGGCAGGCGCAGTACTTTGTGCGGGCTTTGAGGTGTGGGAGTGCGATTTTCGTGGCAGGCGCAGGGGATCGTGAGGTTGCGAGGTGTGATGGAGGTGATATTTCGTGGCAGGTGCAGTACTTTGTGTGCGTTAGACGTGTGGATACGGAAAGTTTCGTGGCAGGCGCAGGGAATCGTGAGGTTGTGAGTTGTGGTGGAGTGACTTGTGGAGGAAGTCTCGTCCGAAACGCTCGTTTTGCAGACTTGAAGTGTGAGTTTTTGGGTCACTCTCGTACGAAGCGCTTGTTCATGCGTGACGGTTGACTTTTGGAGACTTTAGTAGCAGTGCCCCGCAAGAGTCCCACAAGAGTGTCCTACAGGACTGTCCCACGTGTGTCTGACAAGAGTGACAGTGTCCGACAAGAGTGTCCTACAAGATCCTACAAGAGTGTCCCACGAGAGTGTTCCACAAGAGTGACGAGTGTCCCACAAGAGTGTCCCGCAAGAGTGTCCCACAATAATGTCCTACAAGAGTGTCCTACAAGAGTGCCCCACAAGAGTGTCCTACAAGAGTGCCCCACAAGAGTGTCCCACAAGAGTGTCCTACAAGAGTGCCCCACAAGAAGACTTTCCCACAAGAGTGTCGTACAAGAGTGTTTCGCAAGAGTGTCCCACAAGAGAGTCCTACAAGACAGCTTTGCAAGAGTGTCCCATAAGAGTGTCCGACAAGAGAGTCCTGTCCCACAAGAGTGACATACAAAAGTGTCCCACAAGAGTGTCCTACAAGACTGTTTCACAAGAGTGTCCCACAAGAGTGTCGCGCAAGAGTGTCTCATAAGAATGTCCGACAAGAGTGTCCTACAAGAGTGCCCCACAAGAGTGTCCTACAAGAGTGTCCCACAAGAGTGTTCCGCAAGAGTGTCCCACAAGAGTGTCATATATGAGTGTCCCACAAGAGAGTCCTACAAGACAGTGTTGCAAGAGTGTCCCATAAGAGTGTGTTCAGCAGTCACATGTCGCAAATGCTTATGTAAACAGAAGTCGCTGTGAAAATTTTGCGTAGAAAGATTGATTACTGGGCCTCTCCTCTCTCAATAGACAAAGACCGGCATATGCAACCACCCAAACGTGTTTGCATTCGGGTTCGTGGGCTCCATCTTGTGAACCTTTGCAGATCCTTGAGCTACCAGTCATATTTTCTTCCAGGAGTTCTTGTGCGATTTTTGTACTGCCCGCAACGTTTGGGGGAAATGCCAGCCGAACTGCGCGGAAGCCCGCAGGTGGGATTTGTCAGATCCTCGCATCAGCATCCCATGTGTGCCTCGGCACTTTTTGGGACGAGGTTCGGTTCCTTCTCAAACATTTATGTTTGGAGGCCATCGCTACTAGGTTGGAGGCCATTGCTATATTAGGTTGGAGGCCATAGCTTCTAGGGGTGGAGGCCATCGTTATTAGGTTGGAGGCCATCGCTATTAGACTTTCGTATTCATCTCACACAAGGGAACCCCAGGCCCAGGCTCTACGTATATTATGATACCACTTGTTCAGCTTCAAGTGCACAAAAAGACACCTCACGACCAGATCAGGACTGGTGACAGGGGGACATTCTTCTGATGTGACCTTTACATGTTGAGACCTAGTTTGGGCGCGATCAGAAGGGCTAACTCGATTCTTTGTGAATCTACACCCTGCAAGGTCAGGATGTAGTGCGATTGGATGAGACACGTGCAATGGATGTGGAGAGTGGAAACAAAAAGTCAACAGGGCCCCCGGCCACTACTCCACAGTCCAGGCTCCGAAAAGGCTCCAGGGTGCAGGTCCAGAAAGGGCTCCAGGATGCTCAGCATTTGGTCTCTGAAACGAGGACGACCCTGCGCCCCAGAAGGAATTGCTTGCCCGTTCGATCCCCGAAGACTTCGCGTGAGGTGCAAAGTCTCTATGGGCATGGAGGCACTGTGATAGCTTTGGAACATGGTTTCGACCTTTTGCTCAGGCGGGTCGATGTCGATGGGATGAGCCATGTCGAAAGGTCATGTGTTTCCCCAGTGTCTTATTGCATGTCAAGTTGAGAGGCTGGGGAGAGTCTATTTTGGGATGTGGGGCAGCGAAGGGACCCAAGAATCTTGCGGCGCAGAACTTGGACGACCAATGGCCATGGGTTGGCTTCCTTCTGCACGCAGCTTGAATAGCTCCTAATGGATAGGGTTCGGATCCAAGATGATAAGCCTCAGGTTGCAAGTTGCTGCACCTGAAAGTCGAAGGCCTTGCTATAGAGTTCACCTCCACCCCCAAGTAGCCTAGGAGAGAACCTTTTGAGAGAGCAGGACACTCGCCTCGAAGAGGAAAGCTGTGAATGCTGATCATCCTGCATAATGTTTAGTTTTTGCAACACTGACAAGCTAATATGCTACTAGGAGCAAGGACGCTACTAGGGGCTCCTGGCCTTACTACTATAGGAACAAGAAGCTACTAGGGGCTCCTGGCATCGCTACTAGGAGCATTCTTACAACACTGACATCAAGAGGCAAGAGGAGGTTCTCTTACTGTATGACACGTTTCTTGGCTTTGCAGCATGGGTGCCACAAAATTTCCGCCCTCCACCTCCATCTACCCTACAAGTCAGTTGATGGTGCAAATCTTCTGCTCTTTCTACTCTTCCATTGCCACTTGCTTGGTTTTGCTGGTATGCACAATACAATGATTGAGCAAGACTTCTGAACGCCTGGCCCCCAACTGGCCTCCAACACCACGCCAGCTCCTCGACGGATGGCCACCTCTTCGTCTGGCGAGATTCGTGGGGGTGCTCCAGTGACTGAGATTTGTGCTTTGGAACTTCCAGGGACTCCCACCCTTTGATCATCCAGCTATACTATATTATATATCATTCAAGTGGATGACATGGCAGCCCTCAAGAGGAAGACCACCAAAGTATGAATTGTTGAACCGACCTACCCTGTGAGTGGATAACCTTTAAACTTTTTTTGGGGGAGTGGTTTTCCCCACAAAAATCCAACAGGTGGACAAGGGTTAACTGAGTGATTTTCATGTAAAGAACTGAGTGAGTCAGCTGATGGTAAGCATCCCAAGAATCATGGATGAACCAACCAAAACCGGATTCCAAACCTTTGCCCCGCGTCAACCCACCGAGGTTGCCGCTAGGCACAGGCTCTGTTAGGCTTTGCGACATGAATCCCGCTTGACGACGCCAGTCCAACAGCTTTCAGCTAGCAGCTCTTCCGGCTCCCACACGTTTCTTTTTCACTGCAGGAGCCCGGCGCGATTGCTGCGCTTCCCTTCCTACGCAGTGAGACAACGCTTGGAGCCCAACACGGGCAGCAAGGGGAAGGAGAGCGATCTGATTCGTTCTCGTCGTCATTGCAGCTTTGGAGGTTTAGGGCTCTTGGATTGGGAGGCAACCAGCGAAATTGGGTGTTGGGAACGATCAAAACGCCACCGCATGGGACAGGGTCGCACATGGTCGCCATATTGGAGACCTGGCTCGATCTGCAGCACCACTAAAATCCCGCTCGTTGCAGCACCACTAAGTCGAGGGCTGTTTGATGCTGTTTGTTGAACAGCCGCTGCTGGGGTTTAACGCAGGGCTGGAGACCAGCTATGCCGTGGACTTTCTTTCCAACGACCGTGCGCAAGTGTGCCCGGCTGTGCCCCCGGAATCCTCATCTTCCAGCACTTGCGAGTTGGCGCTTGTTGGTGTTTGGAAGGATAGGCCCAGGTCATCCTAGGTCCTAGGGAAAGACGAGCAACCACTCGGTCTAGCTCCTAGTTGGCTATGTTGCTCCTAGGATAGACTAGGCATCAATCTCATGGCTTGGCAGATCCACTTCTAACACTTCTGTCAGCCTTTCCGGGCTTCTGTCCATTGAATTGGCTCCATCTACCTCATCCCGTTGGCTTTCCCAGGTTCTCAATCCTTCCAAGAAAAGGAGATAAAGCTATGAATGCAATCCCAGCTTCTCACCAGGAAGAGATACCCTTGAGGAAAACTAACATCGACCCTGAAAACCACTGGTTTGTAGAGGAAGACAGTCTTTCAGGGTGTCATTCTCAGGGTCCATGTTAGTTTTCGGGAGTGTACCAAGATTGCCCTCCTACACATCAAGAAGCATGGAAGTGGATGGTACGGCCCCTGAAGAGTCTGTTTGCCTCTACAACAAGTCATTTGCTGAGCCCATGTGACTGTTAGAGGGAGGTTGCTTGTAGCAAGCCGTGGCAAGCCGTGCGCAGGAGACGTGGTTTTTGCCGCTGGGCATGGATTGTTTGGGCATTTATCGTAGGTGGGCGCATGCGTCTCTCACGAAACAAAGAGGGAGGCTGCAAATACTGCTGGTAACTGTAAACCTGATGGAGCACGAATGGGTTTGGGATCTCTATTCGTGAAAACTTCTAAATTTACATTCTTACAAAGCAACGAGGTTGAGTTTGACCTTGCTTTTGACATGAGCACCCTGCTTGGAGGGTTTGTTCTGTTGGCTTACTGTTGCAAGAGGTTGCAACGGTAGACTCTCACTCTATAGTCTATAGATTGAGTCGTTGGCTTCATCGTCGTCCTTCAGCAGTTGCTGACGCCCATCAGTGCCCTTTCGGAGGTGGCTTCCTGGCTCAAAGGTCCTGGTTGCAGCTCAAAGTCCCGGGTGGCTTTTTCAGCTGTCCTTTTTGCAATTGGATTGATGAAGGTAGACCACGTCAGCAATGATGAAGGTAGGCCCATGTGCAACATCAATAAGATCAATCAAGGTCATCCATGACAGATGCAAGAATGCTCCAAAGGGTTCTTACACACGAGACAACCTTTAGAAGCAACAGCTGCTCTGGCACTCCATGTACGAAAAAGGACTTGGGATTCACTGTCCCTTAATCACCTTAATCATCCCAGTCAAACGGGAGGTCCTGTAGTAGCAGCTTTGCTCCAAGCTTTTGCTGACTGACTTGCAGAGCTCTTTCTCAAAGAGCTAGGTCACTCTCCATGCGTGAAGGGGAGACACCCAGTGCCTACGCGGGTGACACCCGGCAGAAGTGGCGAAGATGGATGGGCATGCAGGAAGTGCCTGGCCCTTTTTGGGGTGTTAACTGTTAAGGCGGAAACGTGACCCTTCTTGCCAGACACTCCCTTCGACACGCTTGTTTCTGACAATGTGACCATGTACATTCAGTCTAGGGCTTTGGCGGGGAATTCTGTTCGCACTTTTTAGTGTGAGTGAGGCTTTGATGAACCATTACTCCTTCGCCCAGACTGTTCACTTGATACCCAGCGTACTTTTCAAACTTGTTGCCTTCTTCTTGCATCGGATCTTCGTCACTGATGGCAGGGACGCAGGGACGCAGGGGCAGACTTGATTCCCGGGCAGTTGGTGGCTTTTCCCGAAAAGAGCGAGCGCATCCCCAAAGAGCCTGAGCTCAGTTCATGGGACCATCCGGAGAAGAAAGGTGAAGTCGTCCTGTGTTCCAAAGGACTCCACGACGTGTCTCAGGACTCGGAGGGCTATGTACATATCTTCAAGCTCGATTTGTCTCAGGCCGTTCCCGAAAACGTGAGGAGTGGGTTCCGTCCCGCACTCTGGACGCCTCGTGCTCTTTTTTCTGGGGAGGACTACTTTCCGAGGGTGAGGAGAAATCGCGCTCCCAAGCGCGCGCGTGGGAGCTGGGACTCCTATAAAGCCACCTCAAATTCCTCTCATCGAGCACCGGCCTCAACACCTCGTGGGACACATGCCCTCCGGAGTGATTTTGAGGTGGCTATATTTAATATTGAGGAGGGTCTGGCGTGGCAATAGGGCTTGTTGGATGTGGCAGGAGGGCTTGTTGGAGGAGAGTTTGGCGTGGCAGTAGGGCTTGCTGGGCGTGGCAGAAGGGTCCTGTTGGGTTGTGGCAGTAATGCTCGGCAGTGACTTGGTAGTGGTTGCTTGTGTGTGGCAGCCAGGGGGGGAACCTGACATATATAGGCTCAGTAAAGCATGGTGCAAGCACCCCTGAAGTTTAATGAAATTTAACATCAAGGTAACCCTTGAGTCCCCATCCTCACCAAAACCACCGTCCCCTCCACATCTTTGTGAGGCAAATAACTTTGATCAGCTCTTTTTGCCTCTCTGGAAGGTCTCCGCCACGGGCTTTGGTCGTGCGCATGTTCGTCGATGTTGTTCCCTCACGGAAAAAGAAAACCGCGCGGGCTTCTGTGTATCAAAGCTGAAGTCATCAAAGGCACTTCGCACGGGTAGACTCCTGTCACATGGTGACCCCCTAAGAAAGGAATGCTTCTTCAAGCAGGGCCTCCGAATGCTGAGCAACTCTAAAGATTGAGACTCCCATGGTCGGATGTCCGAACCAATTGGTATAAGAGCAACTGATACTTTTCCAACATGGTATTCCGATTCAACTATTGAGACTCCTTTTCATTCTCGTGAGCCTGGCAGCAGAGGGGAGTTGGAAGCGACAGTGACATCCATTGTGTGCGGTAAGAAGTGTATACTGTATATGTATATATATATATATAACATATCGATTCATTCATATTATGTTTTACTTTTGGATCATCTATATAGATCATCCAAATTTATACAGTATCTAGAAAAGAACACACTTTTGTTTCAACCCCCAAAAGCACACTTGAAGCAAGGCTTTCACGTCAGGTTCCGGAAACCGTCGCAAAGCCGGCGATTCGTCTCGCCCTCGCCAGGTGAAGGCCCATGAGCTTGGCGTCTCCAAGGTCTCCGACCGACCGGAACAGACACAGAACGCGGCGGAGACCGGCAGACCGGCAGACCGACACGCGGCGCATTCAAGCCATGCCAAGCACACAAGGGGTCTCACGTGGCACGAAAATAGTATCGTGCAGAAGAAGTGCAATCACCATCAATAACCCCTGAAGCACCCCTGACATTGACGCGGATGATGTCCAATCAGGACCACTGTTCCCATCTTAAGCTGTGTTGGATTTCGGGTCTGCAAGAATGTCAAGACAAGGGAGAACCTTGCAAGACTCCCAGGAACAACGGAAGTGGAAGGATAGTCATAGATGAACGGAACCTCATGTTCACACAGGATCAGACGCCACAGGAGTAGATCCTGTAAACCAGACCGACGAGTCCAGTCAAAGGACCAACTGAGTGGACACTCCGGCAGGTGATGGCGGTTCCCATGGAGTCCTTTCTTTTTACCCTCTCCTACGACCAGACGCCCGGACATACGAAGGGGTCGGGGTATGTCGGGGTTGAGTGCGTAGAGACCTTGAGCAGGGATTGGGAGGGATAGGGTAAGTGGGCATTTTTGGAATTCCCAACGATTGGGTCGCCACCTGTTGGAAACCAATTGGAGTTCAGTCCAGGTTCCTGAAAAAAGAGAACCTCGAGGAATGCATCTCCTCCCCCCCCAAAAAAACGATGCCCAGAACACTCCTCTTGCGGCCAAGAACGGGTCCCGGAGAAGGGTGTAGGGACTTGGCTCCAGCACGGTTCCGGCGGGAAGCCGCCTTCCTTCCACGAGCAAATCGCCCCAGGAAGCTCAAGGCCATGGACTCGGTCACGGGACAAGTGATCTTTGAGGAATTGAACCAGCCGCTCGGGACGAGGACGGTCGGACAGACTGGCGGAACGCAGAACCGGCACCTGGACTTGACCGGAGCTCCACCGGAAGGAGACATGGAGCTACTGGGATGGGGATGGATCGGTTTGGTATGGGGTATAGGATGGTATAGGGCGGTAAAGGCATAGGGCTTGACGATTCTTTACAGCATAATATGTATTTTATTATATATTATGCTTTACAGTATAATATGTAGGGGTTAGAGTCGGTGATAGAGTCGGTGATTTGGAGGATAGGACAGGACACAGAGATGGACAAATTTTCTTGGGCACCACCAGGATGGTCCATTCACAGTTCAAAGGCGAGAAAAAAGACTCTTTGGCTGTTTATCTCGTTTTCAGCACACGAAGAACCCCGCACCAGTCAATCGATGTCCGGTGCGTCAATTGAGGCCACCAAGCTTCTGGGATTTGGTTAGATGAGCGGATGATGAATCGAAAGTGCGAAGGTTTCCTTATAATCTTACGATATCAATTATATATATATATATGATTTGTGAGTTGCTTCTCGCAACGTTGGAAGAGCACTTTCAGCAACACCCGTCTCCGGTTTCTGAGGTGTAATGTGGTCTTTCACAGCCTGGCCTGGGATTCCACCAGCCAAGATGCAACCCGTCAGCAAGTGCATCCGTCTCGCCGCACCCTGTGGAGTTCCGACGGGAGAAGCTCCGGCCCGTTGATCCGTGAAAAGCCACGCCCCGAAATTGGGCGCCACGCAGATCGTGGTCCGCTAGGCTTTAGCTGGTTGGCTCACACCGTAATCAGTGCCTTGGCAACCACTTGGGGGTTTCACTCCCGTTGTGGCTTCCACTAGGTGATTGTGGCGGACAGCAAGGGCAACGTGGGCTTCTACAACCTCATCCAGGACGCAACGACGGACACCGACACACCGGACGATCTGTCGAAGGAAGGGTTGGAGTCGTCCTTAAGACGAGCTGGTCAGATAGGAGAGACCAGAGGCTTTAGCAGTTGCTTATAGCTGTCATAATAGCAGTTGTGCGTAGCTCGTCCTCTCCAGGGCTCTTCACTGTTCACGCAAAACATCAATTGGTAGCTGGTCTTTTCTTGCAGAGATCCCCCACCTTTGTTCTCCTCACCGCGCAGCTGCTGTCGCGGCCCAAACTTCCCAGGAATCTTGGATCACCTGGAAGAATGCTTCTCAGCTGATGATGGCTCTGGTATGCATGAGAGTCCATAACCTCACCTAATCATCTTATATTATTTTGTCATATCTTGTCCTCTTTGAATCGGGCTGAAATCATCAAGTGTGACCTGTGTCACCCCCTTCGTCTTTCTCTTGCTGCACTTGCTCTCTTGCACACCAGGACCATCCCTCCAGAAACCAGGAACGGAGAGCTCTTCCGCGTGTCTTCGTTTCCCGAGCTCCTCAGTCTGTGAGGTCTGCGAGGAGCCGATCCTCAGCGTTCACCTGTTGCCCTCGAAGTCCAGGCTACTGCTGCTCACTCCACACTCACTGCAGGCGGTGCCGAAACGCGGTGCCAAACCGACGACACCGAGCGTTTCGTTTGTTGTTTCCATTCTCCTGCTCCCAAGAGAGGTGGAGGTTGCGGTCGTTGCCGGAATTTGCGGTCGTTGTTCCGATTTGTTCCGTTCTTTGAAGACCCGAATCTGAAGATTGAGTGAATTGAACCGCACGGGGAGTTTGACGCCAAAAGAGCAATCCCTGGAGGCTCGCAGAGGCAACGTCTACAGTCATTTTTCCATCCGAAATGGGCGATGCTTCGACTGGAGTGATGGGGCTGTCCACCTCCGCAGGTCTGGGATATCCTCAGAGGCATGAAATTCCAAGAGCTCAAGGCCGGGCTCGGCTAAGCAGCTAAGCAGCTGAGTTCTCTGTGAACCAAAGCTCAAGTCACATGAGTCATGTCACATGCAGATTTGCCATAGATTTGCCCTGATCCTTTGTAAGATCGCTCTTGGTGCCCCTCCCCTCGCTTTTCATTCCTTTTGGGAAGTGAACACGACAACTACGATGACGTGGGATATGGATGGATGATGGCCAGTTGGGCAAGAACTTGTGAAGCTCATGATCCCAGAAAAGCTTATTTGGGATCCAGAAAAACGACATACTTCATGTCTGGATTTCTTGATCGGCCGAAAGACCAAAGACTCTGCTAGCAGCTTCAATTGTTCTTCGAAGCAGTTCTTCTTTCCCCATGTCTCCCTGACCCCTTCAGCAGGCCAACGAAACGGTCGGAAACTCCCAGCTTTCCTCACAAATAGCTGCAAATCTTCGCTTCGGCCGAAGACTGGACCATTTTCAATTCCCCGGACTCTCTGTATCCATTTCCCCACAGCATCTTAGGATTTCGTCCGTTGGTGTATTCAATGATTCTACGACACCGTGAGACGCGCCTTTTTTTTAAAAAGTATTTTTTTCGGAGGAACATCATGCGCCGGTGGTCTCCATTGCCTCCAAGTCCACTAGCGAGGGTGGCATCTTGTACACGGCAGGGCGTGTCCGCGGTGTCCGGGCTGTCCTGTGCAATCCTGTGACATGGTGGGAGCACAACGGCATGTAGGGTGGGTTTCTGCATCGCATGGTCGTTATTGGGTTGAGAAAGAGAGGCAGGTTTAAATGGCTGACGATCGCAGTGGATGTATGACACTTGATGGGGCTTAATACCTAGCTAGTCAGTCTATCTATCTATCTATCTATCTAAATATCTAGAGAGAGAGAGAGAGAGCACTTTTCTATTTCCTTTGCCCCAGCCTAATGTGTAGCCTAATTAATGGACCATGCCACAGAATTCATGATCATTACTTTGAGTGGACGTTTCGGAAGCAGCCGTGACCCGGGGATCACCAGGCCGCGATGGACAACACCATCCGGATGTGGGATTCCGTGACGGACCCAGCGGGGCTCGAAGTCTCCTTTGCGCCCCGAACGTCGAGACAGGGAGGACAGAACACACCAAGTGTTCGACCGATGTGCAGTAATCGATGTGTTAAATAGAGATCCCTCAAACAAATGAGGCTTCGGTGTCCCAACTTCTTTTGGAATTCTTCTCGTCTAGAACAGGAAGTTCAAATGAAACTCATCATGAAATTGAATTTCTCTGGTGCTGAGCAACAGAGAATCATAAAACGTCAAAAGGAAATCAATAGTAGCCTCAATGTTTCAGAGGTAAATGGAACACTTGTGATGCAATTCTATTGGAACAATTCACTTAAATTATCATGAATCATATCCAAGGTGTTTGTGGGCTGTTCCCGACAAAGTTGGTTTGGGCCATATTTGATGCATTTTTAGCAGGACACTTGGTCCAAACAAATCAGCTCAGAGTCACAGGATGTCAATACATTGAGCAACCGATTCAATGGGGTGTATCACAAAAGGGATGGAGGGAATGTTGAGGGCAGTTGCTCGAGAGAGTAAGACCAGAACAAAACCATTTGCAGCAATAATTCGAATCACATTTTCATCTCATTGAAAAGCACTGCGGGCTACGGTAGATGATTTTGCTTGCAAATTAGACTGGGCCCTTTCTTGGAAGAGCACAAGAAAGAGAATGCCCCCAACCAATACACCAAGAGGTCCCTTTTTGGAGCTGTTCCGAGGAAACTTTGGAGTGCATCAAGTGCATCAAGGAGACAAATGCTGCAGCACTTATTTTTCCTTAAAATCTAGGAGCCAAATCATTAGTGCGAGGGCGGGCCGAGCAGGCCTTAAAAGAACTGAAGTTTCGGAGCGGAGTTTCTGTTCACCGGTGGAGCGGACGCTTGGTTTCGCAGGAGCGGAAAGAAGAGATCACCGCCATGGTCTACTTGCCCCGTGCCAACGTGATCATCACTGGTCAGGCTCTCAGGTGAAGCAGGAAAGGTCATCCTTGGCGAAGGTCGACCTGAGCTGTGATCCTTCCGAGTCGAGAGCTGCGCAGTGTTTTGCCGATGCAGATGGCAGAAGACTCGTGTGTTCTACTGGTAGCGTCTTGTTGGTAGTATTGGCCTCCAACCTACTAGCGATGGCCTCCAACCTAGTAGCGTCCTTGCTCCGTTCGTGGCGATGCCCTTTGTACCTAGTAGCGAACATTGCTCCTAGTAACTCCTAGTAGTAAGGCCAGGAGCCCCGAACGTAGCATCCGAACGCTCCTAGTAGCGATGCCAGGAGCCCCGAACGTAGCTTCTTGTTACTACTAGTAAGGCACTTGTTACTAGAAGCGATGCACTTGTTCCTAGTAGCATCCGAACGCTCCTAGTGCTTCCGATCATTGGGGCCAAGGCCATGAGAATTCCGACTTAAAGATGTGGTCATTGGACAGAAGCTCGGATGAGAAGACGAGCGGAGCTGGGTGGATGGGAGAGGGAGAGATCTTTGAATCGTTCTGGCGAGAGGCACAAATGGTATACCTTGATCAACAGATTTCTTAGGGAGAGATCGGGTGTTTTTTTGAACGCAGAAATGGCAAAAACGTTGAACCAGTTTGAACGACTCTTTCCTTCTCTGCAACAAAGAGGCTACTCTGGGCAAGATTTTCTTTCCTACTTGCTTCCTCTCCATCCTTTGAGCTCTTCAACGAAGGGTGCTCCAGTCCTTCCTCGCCGAGGTGAAGAAGCATACCTGAGGACCGTGACTGGGCAATCAGTCCCTTGGCATCGCAGAATGCACCGTGCGCCGACGACGGCGCTGTCGTTTAGGTCCGGTCACGACGACGGGAGACGACACGAGATGGCACCCCGGGCTGGGACCTTTCGGCTCAAGGGTCGCTGCCTCGGGAACATCGGCACCCGACGTCGCGGACGAAGACGTGATGGGCTCTGCAGGGAGCATTCCAAAAAAGACACAACATCAGAAGCCTCGGGCATCAGCGGAAGCTTCACAAAATGTGGAGGATATGGAGTTCATGCACTCCTTGAGCCACTTGTTCCGCGAAGTACCATCGGACCATCCTTTCCTCCGGTCCGACAGCTCATTGTCCTGTCCCACTGTTCTTCCTGAGGTGGGTGCATGTTGTGTCGTTTTTCGCAATAGAGCAAAGTATGTGCAAGTCAAGTTTGGTGTGCACTTCAGCCTTGGAACGTGTCAGGGTCCGCTGGTTTTGATGTTGGCCACAGACCTAGGACCTAAGACCTATACTTCAATAATGGACCCACTTCAGCAGAATAGCTGAGACAAAGCAAAGCAGAATCTCTGATCCCGGAGCAGCGAGTTTTCCGTGTGTTGCTCTCTAATAAAACATATATATGTAAGCTCTATATATATATATGTTCAATGTCTTGGACTGGAGGTCTGTCATCATGGGCACGGAGTTCATTCAAGTGTTTGTAACGGAGGAACATGTGTCCTGTACTGTATGTGTTGCTGATCAGTTCCAGCGTCTGTCATTGTGAAGACGCATGCTCCCCAGCGAGAAGCATGGAAGTGATTCATTCTACTAATGGACTTTTGTGTGTTGCAGGGCTAAGCTGATTCCTTCCGCTTGCCAGAATTTGCCAGACAGCATGCAAAGAGTTTACCATCAGATGCATATCGGCATGTCTGACACAGTTGTATGGCCCAGTTCGCGCGTCCACAGCTGCCATTGCATTTTGCTCCACCACTCCAACACAACCGGATCATTTCGGCAGGCCGAATTGGCTGAGCATTGCCTTCCATTTCGGGCTCTACGGGTCAAGACCTACGACGCAGATGCATGGCAAAGGCGCTTTGGACCTCCCGACAACGGCGCGCCTTTGTCCGAAGGGTGAAGCGTTCGGCCTGAGGGGTTCGACTGGCGGAGTTTTTCACGCAGTGTGCATTGGGTTTGGGTTCAGAACACCGAGCTTACGCCCACAGGAATTCGACCAATAGTAACCTTGATTCATGGGGTGCTCAGCACTGAAGTAGCAGATTACAACATGAAACAAACTAGCTGATCGTGCAATGCTTCCTTTGCTTCTGAAACTTTCTCTTGGGATCTCTTGGGTTAGCTTTTCCCAAATTCAATGGGCTCGACACGGTCTGCCAAATGACCTAGGCATCCAAGGATGGGTTAGACCTCGACGTGACTTCGGCATCAAGCAGGGCGTCTTCGCGATGATGTTAGCCGGCGGACTGACATTGTTTCTGCTCACCGAAACTGGTGCCAAGAACGCAACTGATGAACTGAAACTTGTCCTCCAGAGAACTCTCATAGCCTTTTCATTTTAGATGGGCAATGGACTCTTAGATAAGGGTTCATAGCTACTGCCCCCTCCATCTCACCCCTTCTGTCTGGGAAGACGGAAGGCCGTGTGGGGGCCTGCGTAGCATTTTGATGCATTTTGAATATTGTCCATTATTCAACCACTGACTCACGCTGATGCAGCATGTGTATCGGCATGTTGTCAGGGCAGGATGACATGGGTGACCCGTTGTTGGGTTGAAGCTTATCCAGGTGAAAAGCAGTGAAAAGGCGAATGTGTAGATTCGCAGCCTTTTGAGAGCTTCTCCTGCATGAGCATTGCAATGAACGTGTTTTGATGTTTCGCTTGTTTTGATTGTTTCACTTGCCTCAATCCTTGCAGTCACCACCAAGAGAGTTTCGTGCCTCACTGGATTCAGCTCACAATGCAAAAACATTGTGCAACGTGCCACGAAAGGGAGCCATGTGAAAGATTGCACGCATTAACAAAAACCCACTGCAATTAAGATCTCATACTTAAAAGATTGCTGGCTGTTCCCTTCGTGCAGTCTCACTGTCACCTCTGCAGCGTTGATTTGGCCGACCTAGTGCAATGGCTGGGACTGCCCAAGATGACGTGCTTGCACGACAGATGGGCAATGGACTCTTAGATAAGGGTTCTTGCGACATAGCTACTGCCCCCTCCATCTCACCCTTTCTGTCTGGGAAGACGGAAGGCCGTGTGGGGGCCTGCGTAGCATTTTGATGCATTTTGAATATTGTCCATTATTCAACCACTGACTCACGCTGATGCAGCATGTGTATCGGCATGTTGTCAGGGCAGGATGACATGGGTGACCCGTTGTTGGGTTGAAGCTTATCCAGGTGAAAAGCAGTGAAAAGGCGAATGTGTAGATTCGCAGCCTCTTGAGAGCTTCTCCTGCATGAGCATTGCAATGAACGTGTTTTGATGT